GTTGGCTCAATGACCTCCAGACCTAGACCAATCAGCAGTGGTGTCATCCAGGGGAGTGTATTGGGACCCCTTCTTTTCATTATATACATAAACAGTATATGTGAATGTTTTAGTATAGGCAAGCCAATACTGTATGCAGACGACTTAAAGGTGACATATACCTGCACAAATACAGATATCGGCCCAACAATGAACTCCATACATGAAGAATTAGCAAAAATGGATAGATGGTGTGACACGTGGAGACTTGAGTTTAATGTTGAAAAGTGTGGATGGCTCTGCATAGGCTGTTCCAACCTTGACCTCAACCTAGCAATTCAGGGCCACAAAATCCCCAGACTCAAATCTGTACTAGACCTAGGACTGAAATATTCACACAATCTATCATTTTCAGAGCAAATCTCGAATCAAGTGTCGAAATCACGAAGGCTTATTGGTTTCCTACTCAGGAACTTCTACAGAAACGAGTCCAGAATACTACTGTACAAGGTATGTGTGCGCCCACTCCTAGATTACTGCTCATTCATATTCAGCAGTACACGCATAGAAGACAAACTGAAAGTAGAAGGAGTACAGAGGTACTTCACGCGAAAAGTACTCGGAACCGATAACGGCACAAACTACTCTACCAGATGTGAAATCCTGGGACTAGAAACATTATGGTTAAGGCGACTGCGACTAAATCTGTTACTCTTCTATAAGCTTCTTAACCAAATAGTGTATACCCCTGCTAACTATACTCGGTCCTCAGGTAACACAGGATACAACCTTAGGCACACTAAAGGTACAGTGGCTATAGAACCATGTAAAACAGCCACCAGGCAAAAGTTTTTCTTGATTAGGTATGCCCAAATATGGAACAAACTACCTGAGAAAATACGACTAGCAAGCACATTGGCCTCCTTTGAAAAGGCACTTAATGACACACTAAGTGAGTTTGTAATTGATACCAATGGTAATTCCCATGTAAGAGTTTCAGAAATCATAGGCCCATTTAATGTATGAACTCAGAGACTACACCTGTTGTTTGTTTTGTCTCTATTTATAATTCCAGACAAAAAAGCAGCAGTCATGACAATAACACCCATTCAATCAAGAGTCGATCAAACTATGTCTACCTGATACAAAGGGCGAACCATAATCAACATACGAATGAAATATGAGAAAACAAGGTAGAAACTTACCGCAACACCACATGAAAAGATAAAAGTTACTTGGATATCATTTATAATCCACCAACTGGTCTCCTACCCAAAAAGAATGCGGCGATGTTTTATCCAAAAAGGCGAGGAAATACATAAACCCACAGCAGCTGTTGTTAACACTCAGTGGGGGTAGGAGCCAACAAAGTAATCCTTTCAAAGCATATGTATACTTCAAATGGGCACGGAGACTTTGTAGAATACGTCATAATCCAAATCACTGCCTCTACAGCGCCAATAAACCTGGATATCTATGATATAACGAAAACATGCTGAAAGCTGCATCTCAGATCAAGTTGACTCATTCCATGGTAATGATCTCCTCCTGCGTGCCTTATTCGACATATTGAATGGAATGGTTCGCAGTTATTCTGGTACTAGATCGAAAAGAATAAAAAATTCACCGGTTGCTGAATCAAAAGTACTTCTCTGCATGTTTAACTGTATTCTAACTGCTATGATTAATTCCAAACCATTTATCCCATAATCACTCAAATTCCAGGAACGATCCAATTCTACCATTTAAAGAAGCTGGCGGACACGATGTAAATGAGTATTCATGATCTGAAATAAAGAAGCAACTGGTTTTCAACATTTTACTCAACTTACGAGTACAGTCCGCCATGCAGACACAAATGGCGCAAATGGGGAATTCTGGAATCGACCTCGGGACCATTTGATGCAGTAAAACAACCCGACATGACCTTATCTAATTTTCGCCTCCACGATCAAATTTCTTTCCTGTTATGAAACTACGATAAGACTGCTGAAAAATGGAATAAATATATCACTGATCTCAACATAATACATCAATAATCTTTAAGCCAAGGGTGCTGTTCACAACAAAGTTATATAAGAGAATTGACTTCAAGCTTTATTTTTCCCATATATCTGTATTACATTCATGTGATGTCTGGGTTTTTTGTTAATGCGAAGACAATATTTCTATATCTCTTTATGTGCTACACAAACAGACTTTATAGCAGACTGTTCCGACTGACTCTAATGTCAGAAAGAACAACCAAACTGTAAGTCCATTATACATCAAATTATGTGTAATTTATATAATAACTTATCCATGCCTGTACAATAGGTATGTTCCTGCATAAACAGGAAGGAATATATTATTATTATTAAAACAATATTTATGCATGCCTATACAATTGGTGTACCCTACATAGCTAGGGAAAAAAATGTACTTTATTATATTATCTTTACTAAATATGCTTATTAATATTATGTGTAAATTATCGAATTGATGATGCCTGTAAACTGGCGTCCCTCATGTAAAAAATGAGAATATATATTATTATTATTATTATCCGTGCGGCTCAGATAACGTCATGGAATGTGTATTGATGAAATGTATAAACTCGAAACAATGTGGTTAAAACTGTTTAGGGTGAGATACTTCGGTTGCTATTATGTGTGATTACGTTTCTTTTAGAGAGGAGTGTTACATCCCATACTGCACCTTCCTTTGCTAAATGTGTACTCTAAAACTAACATTTTATTGAAAAATAAAAGATGAATCATTTATGAATCCTGAGGTATATGAACAAATTCGCCCGTCTGGCACTATATTGCCACGAGTGGGCGGACTACCCAAATTTCAGAAAAAGGACGTCCCACTCTGCCCAGTATTAGATATGATTAATTTGCCATATCACCTAATTGCGAAGTGACTGGTGGTAATTCTTGGAACAGTGACAGAAAAGCTGTCGATTAATGGATAAAGAAAGCATCACAAATCATAAAGCAGCCATATTTTCTACTTGGATGCCCGCGTCGTCTTTCTGAATTGCTTAATCTCTAACTACATCTCAGAGGTCATAGCATATAGCCTTGCAGGAACCCTATGCAAAAAAGCCGGCAATACTTCTAATTAAGGTATCACAACATGCAAAATGGATCACTCATCACCTAGAAAGTTATTTGTTGGAAGGCCTAACATATATTCGCAGAGCTAGGATTCGATAAAAATAAATCTGCTAGACGCAAAACAACAGGACGTTCACGTTTTTGAGTTCCTTTTAGAAAATTATAATTATATGGTCCCCAAGTGACTCAAGGATATAAACTAGGTATGCGTCTGATTTCATACTGCAACAAATTTTATACAGAGGACAAAAACTGAAGATGTGCGTACATATATAATTTTCTAGAATTTCCTTAATGCATTGCATAAGTGAGTGTAACCCGTGTTTGATACGTTCTTCCCATTGCTTAGTACAATCAGACGGCTATTCAGTTACCCCTAACCACTGCTTGGCCTAGAACTTTTGAGTCGGCTTTTCAGGAACCTCATGACTGCTGGTAATTTGAAAGCAATTATCGTTAGTTTGTTAGGCGGCGATACTAGTAGTCTTCGTGGCGTAAAAACAAGCAGACCACTACTGAGAATATCACAGGATGAAATGAACCCTCATTTTGCGAAGTTTCATAGCATTACCCTTTCCGTTTACATTTGCTTAAATTTTTCCTAAGTGTTTGTGATCCATCAAACACATACTTGGGTTTTTGTTAATGCGAAGAAAATATTTCCATATCTCTTGATATTCCCCATTGAATGACTGGTTAGCAGATTTTTTTCCACAAACTAAGTACAAGAAAGACAGTAATTTCACCATAAACCAATTTATATAATTTAAATAATAATTATCCATGGCTGTAAAACTAGTGTGTCCCACATAGATAGGAATAAATATATATTGTTATTATTATATTATTATGTGACGTGAATCTGCCCTCGGGAAGTAAGTCAACTGGCACCAGACTGAAGATCCCTTAATCCAAAGATCCAAGCTGCAATTACCGCAGTTTCTGATTTCTCTGTGAGTTATGTAAATCCGGCTAGTACCTAAACACTACTAGTATTAGTAACTATCAACTGCTTCGTCTTACATCTTATACAGTGAATGTCACTAACAATGAGCCGGCATTAAGTGAAAGTCTCGTCGCCACTGTATTACCCCCAGTGCACTCGTAAAGTAACTATTTTTATCATCTACTGTAGTGCCATCTTCAAATACTTTCTGTTTCCTGTTTCCCTTCCTTTCAGATAGTTCTTGAAGTAATTACGTTCATTGTGATGTTAATATCTCAGCCACTGAACAGTGAGCTGTTTTTAAGAATTCTGGGGTTAGCAGTAATATAAATATGCTTTAATACTGACGACTGTATTTATTATGTACGCATACAAACGTGGATTGAACTAACCCAGTTGCTGCCGAAGCATTCTTAATTCAGCACAGGACAACTCACACCACAATATATTCGGCATACTAAATATTGCCTGTGTGAAATGAAATCTACGAGACTGCATGTAGATAGGGATTCCTTGTTCAAGAGGGACTGGCAACCTACAAAGGATACGAAATGTAGTCTGGTGTATGATGTAAACATCGTCTTGTAGTTCAAACGAACAGGAAGTAGAGTTGGGGAAATAACCCATTTGAGTTTATTCCGTTAATGGCTAAAAATAATTGACTACTAAAAAGACTCAGACACAAACCAGGACGTGAGTCTTTGAAAGCACAACTGACATTTACTTGTCATGTTGTCAACCACGACTGCTGCAGAACAGTAGCCAGGATTTCAACTTAGGAATCATGTAAAATGCAAGACTTAAATTCTAAATCTATTCTGTCTACTCTTGTAGTAGAGATAGTGATTACCAAGGTGATTTCCTATGAATAATTTTTTCAGCAACACTTATGAAGACAAATTACGAAATTGGGTTTTGTTTGCTTGACTTGAAATTTAACTTGAAGGTCAGCTGGCGCCATTACGTTCACCATGTCTTCTGGCCAAGGTAAGTGGGGATCTAAAGACTTAAGCTTTGCAGACAAATGTTGCAAACTGTATATCGGTGGTTTAGTAGAAAATGTACTGAAAGATGATTTAGTGCGTGAATTGTCTAAGTTTGGAGAGTTAGTTGATGTCTGGGTCGCCAGAAACCCACCGGGTTTTGCCTTCGCTGAATATGTAAAGTCATCTGACGCTGAGAAAGCAGTTAGATCTCTTGATGGTGTCAATGTATGCGGCTCCAGAATCCGAGTAGAATTCGCTCACGGAAAAATTCGTCCGAAATTCGGTAAGCACTTATAACCATCTTTGTATGTGATGGAATTCGCTATTCATCGATATAAACTAACGTCGCTACATCTTCATTCTAATTCAGCTGGTGGACCAGGTTTCCGTGGTGGTCGGCCAAGTGGAAGAGGTTTATGAGACGTCGTACTCCTCCCCGCCGTAGTGGTAGAAATTCTTATGACGGTCATCGATATTCCAGCTATGATCAGTACCCTCCATTCCACCCGTCAGATGTTGCCAATGCTGCAGCTGCTGCCGCCGCTGGATTTCCCTATGGTGTACCAGGATATCAGTCTGTTTTACCGTTTCTGCAATCTGAAGAATTCATAAGAAGCCTACAAAGCCAATCACGCCGTCGGTCACCTCCGGGAGAGCACCATTTGCAATGAGTCATAGAGGACGTTCTCCTATATCACGACGAAGGTAATATTCACTAATCCACACTTCTTTATTTAAGCATACAACGTAGAGATGTCGTTCCATTATAATATTTTGACATCGTCGCAAGCAGACTGCTATACAGGTTTTAGTAGCTCATCACTTTGTTGTCGATTAAGTAAGAAGGTGAAGTGTTCAACATCAAAATATGTCTTTCATCGCTTCGTGGGATAAGATATAGCTGTGTAAATACTTCGGAATAGCTAAACATTTGTCTTCAGTGTTTGACATCGCTGCTATTCCCAGCATCTGAAGCCTCCACGTCGAACAAATTTAACTTCCAACTTTTGCTTATAATCTAGTCTACTACCGGACCTAAAAGTCCCCACCACTTTCGAGTGACGCCTTCTCTAGTGTGAATCCACGAACTAGTAATAAACAGGATCCGCGAATAAATATAGCCTTCCAGGTGTTATGTAGTCCGATGCGTATACTCACACGCATCGATGTCATCTACAACCTCCGGAGCTGTGTTTCGTTGAAATTTAGACACTTCATTAAATAATAATGACGACCAACCCAACATCTTGCGTTAATCTCTACGATGCTTATTTTTACTTTTTTAGGAGTCGAAGCCCAATAGGCATACCAGGAGGTAGACCACGTGGTCGAAGCCCTCCAGCATCCTATGATGGCAGAAGTGTAAGTCGTCACCTCGATATGCGTGGCCGTGGAGGATATGGAGACTTTTCACGTCCACGAATACCCCGAGAACCACGAGGAACTTATTCACCTCCCTTTATGGGTGATATGAATGGCAGACGCGATGATTCGCGAACAAGAACTGACCGGAATACCCGTCGTCGACGTTAAATTATGCTGCAGACATTGTTGCGCAACTCTGTATTCCAATGATGTGAAGATAAATGCATTTAGTTTTTGTCTAAACGATTCGTTTTCATCAGTTCTTTCTCATTTCAGCGCTCATTTGGTGTTTTCATTCTCATCGATTGAAATAAAGCTTCACTACTCTCAGTGACTACGTTGGTTTAATTGGTGCTTATATACCTTCCAGCAAATTTCTTTAAGCTGAAAATAAACACAAGTGATGCGTCGCGATGTACTGTGTTGTTCATTAGCTGCGGTGTTTTTACAGCTTATGTAAACTTGAATTATAATTGAGGAAGGATGGTCAGGCATTTTTATGTTGGTTAATACTTTTTGTAATGTCAGATTATCGAATTTGTTTCATAGACTTATGTCTTTAACCAGCAACACTACTGCTACCATAATCGACCCTATATGTCTCTCAAAAAAGGTTTATAGAAATAAGTAATTTTTTTAGTCCCTGGCTGTTTTTACGCTTTTTTATGTTTGTTTCTTTTACTTTTGGGAATGATCGTTGCAAAACGTGCATTGTGAAGGAGAAAAGCATTCCATGTGCTGCACTTACACGTTGGGTTACTTTTAGACACATGACGTTCGCTCGAACTGTTTTTTAACAACTCCATAGTTGCCTGTAGGTTCATGTAATAGAGTGTAAGGCGGATTTATTTCACGGAGTCTCTAAATTTCCCTTTAAGACTGTCATTGTTGGAATAAACGTGTTTGACCATAACCTTGTAGGGAGACATCTATATTAACGACTCCTAAAAGGTTTGGATCCCCTACAAATATTTTTCACAGCGGAGCTTTTGTCTGTCATATTAGAATAATGACACCAAGAGTTTTAACATTTGACGGTGATAGGTGCTTTCAACCAAGTAAGTAGCCTTTCATAAGCATATATTCACTTTTATGAAGAGCAGTAGGAAACTACTATATACAGGAAATAACCGCTAACATTGAGTCATCCTGGGATAGCTATGGTTACCTTGGTTACAAACTAGTTGTCACTGGGTTTTAGAAACACGTCACATTTTTTATAGTCCAAATAATTTCAAAAGGAAGCCAGTATGCAATTTCATCTCACGTGATTTGTTTCGTGAAAGCGAGTTCTAGTTTGTAGTACTCTGATTATTTACATCGACTTGACCAATACTGCCACTAACTTGAACGCGTTTACTATTTTTACTGGTAATACAGATGTGGTTATCCCGTTTTTGAGTTCAATCACTTATTACTTATTTAGATTGTCGGTATTTGTGTAGTTTACTCACTAATTTTCCTGGAATCCGGATGAGACTAGTAAGGTAGTTTAGCAAAGTTCGGTGGTGTATGCTCATTTAACACCGCAAACTGGTTGTACAATGGGTACCATCTCATGTGGGTGAATATTTTATCTCATAGAGTTAGTTTCCGTGGCAAAATCATCGGTTGAAAGAAGGATTTTTAAATTGATTATCTTCGATAACATTATACAACAGGACAATCCGATTGTATGTAGATAAAACCTGACCAAAATTTCAACTAATTGCAACTCTCTGAAATGTTAACTGCCAGTGGTTCTGAAAGGGGAAGTGTTCAGACCGGGAACTGGAGAAAAGAAATATGTAACCAACTATGGATTATAAACGACGCTTCTGACGACAAATATTAACTGAAAACGGCTCCAGATAGCTGCACTGAATATGTAAAGTTTACCGGAACGGCTGGATTTATCGTCTACGTACAATCGACTGCCTCCAGCCTAAGGAGTCAAATTACTACAATCTACAGCAGTGGTATCAAGGAATGTTTTTTCCTAGTAAGTGTGACTGGCTTGAGTAAGGTTCGTCACTTTGCCGTCGTATCAGCCAACAGATTCTCCGGTATTCAACTTCACTTCATCCGAATTAAGTGTAGCAAATTAAGACCCACTTTGCTTATTCTGCGATCATCATCCCAAAGTTACAACACAGTTACAAGAGATGAGTAACTTGTAGTTGAATCAAAGAACTTGTCTAGTTATCGTCGAAGTCCTTTTACGCTGCAGCTACGATTACCAAGACGGGAAATAATAATGCTAATTCTCAAAAGGTCAACGTATCTTTCAAGTACCTTGCATCGTGGGTTTTCTATGTGAGTTTTGGTCTGACTAACTGACTGGTTTCAACGTAGAACTTTGCACCGATGTGCAGCAGTTTGAGTCGCCACACCTCACTCAGCACGCAACGCAAGAGGAGAAAGCAAGAGGAATGCATAACAGACAGTAAACAGAGATATGAGGCAAAAAGAATAGTAATATCAAAGAGCAATATAGTTTTACTGGGTATGATAAGTCACAAGGAGTGGTTATATCTGCGCCAGCCATCGAGAATGAGGATTTTGAGTCATATCACCAATTCTTCAGCCACCATTGGTTCTTACCATCCCGAGGACCCCAACCAGACAGCAATCTATACCTTCCTAAGTGGCTTAAGCTAATTGTTGTGGATTTCGTTGACTGATGATGCCGCGTTTTGGTTTGACCACCACTGGCTGTTGTCCAACCTGGTCGATCCTATGTCAGCTAACATTCCCCATCGAAGAAGGCGATCGATGGCTAGGTGTGTATGCCCAGCACATGGCCTAACCAGCTCATTCAGTCGATGTAACTTCATAACCTCGTCTATCGATTCCTCACGTGAGGTTATGGATGTGCATTACTATTGAGGAGGACAAATGCTTGATTTGATTTTGACTTGCTGGAATACATCAAATACATATCCCAGCAAGGTTTTAATCTAACCAATAATTCTAAATATAAACTGTCCTCAATGAAACGTAAATTTATTATTAGTGATATACGTGTAAGTAGAATCGTAGTGTTAGAATCTATGTTTGATTACTGTCAATAGTGTAATGATTCATAGTTTATCTAAAGTTCTAGATATTTTAAAGTTTGGAAAGTACTCTTTAGGGAATGTGTGGTGACTTACTGATTTCTTCAGCTGAATAGTCTATTCTTGAGAGTTGGGATATTTTTCAGACGAGATGAGGTTTTCCTAGCTGCAAAATTGGCATATACATACATATACTTAAAAGCCTGTTTTAAAGTGATGTAGTTTTTGATATCACCTGTGATTCCAGATAACTGTGGTCGACTTCCTTTTTTCATTTACTGCAAATCGTTATATAAGTAAATTTAATTGTCGTTCTCAGGCCTGGATGTGATGATCCCGTTGAGTTGAAGAAATTCACTTTTGTTGATATTAGAAGTTGGTCTTGCATGCTTATCGAACTTTCTTCCCACCGAATGTTTTGCACTTTACGTATATGTTATGCTACTCATTCGTCGAGGTCGATAAATTACTTCAAAGTTTGATCTAGGTCGAGGTTTGAGTAGTATGTAAGTGGTAAGAGTATATCGTTCATATTGTTTGGTATGATTTACTGTACAACGTCGACACATTTGGTGTTTAATTTTCAATATCACTATTCATATATATGCGATGTGATCAAGTGTAAGGAGTCAACGCCAGGTTTTGTAGAACTGTAACTGTATCGAATAATCTGATGTAGAAGTATTCGACACTACCTTCTGAATTACTTCGAAGGCGCAGTTGATTGAGACAGTGTATCTTGCCTATAGCTACCCTAAAATCCTCAGGAGTTGTATCATCGTCTCTCGGTGTTCCTCTATGACTCGTACAAAGCAGACTGCTCGCAAAACTACAGGAGGAAAGGCCCAAAGAAAGCAGTTGGCCACCAAGACTGCCCGTAAGAGCACACTAGCTACCGGTGATGTTAAGAAGCCACACAGATACAGGCCCGAAACTGTCGCCGGGTGTGAAATCCGTCGTTACAAGAAGAGCACCGAGTTGTTGATTCGCTAATTGCCTTTCCAACGTCTCGTCTGTGAAATCGCTCAGGACTTCAAGACTGATTTGCGTCTCCAGAGCTCAGCAGTTTCTGCTCTACAAGAAGCCAGTGAAGTTTACTTGGTTAGTCTTTTCGAAGACACCAGATAGCTGCAGGCAGTAGTAGTTGTAGTAGTAGGACAGCTTGTATTGTTTCTCTTATCTACACTTCACAGGCTTCATTGAGCTTTCAGTTGTAAATTATTTGGTCTATGGTATCGTTAGGCAGCTGTTGAATGAAGCTTTTGTAATTAGTACTATTCTTATCTTCTATCTAACCTGAGTTGTTATCACTGAAACCTATTCAGATCAAAATTGCTAATGCAGCTTTAGTCGTATGCTAACTTACAGTCCTACAGAAATAGTTGCCTTCCGTATATCTGTGGTGTATTGTCACAGAATATATCTACATATTTATATTGCCCTAGGGTGATGAGCATAGCACAACAACGTATATTTAATCCATCTTCGTATTATCGGTCATGTCATCGCTTTTGAAAATATTTTTTTTCCTGGAAAGTGGAGTACAGATTTACGATCACTTCATTGTGTTTCAGATAGCTTAAAGCAGTTTAGTGCAAATAATACATACATAGTACTCTATCTACCGTCAGTCAGTAAGATTGTATTTTCACTTTGTTTTAATATTAAATTAATAAAGATAGTTTGTAATACTACAATCTAACAAAATTCATTGTTGCATACACTTGTATTTTGTTATTTATCATATCCTTCTTCTGTGTTGTACTATCTAATTATTTTTGTACTCCATATAATTGTACTATTTATGTATATGGAGAAAAGATAATAAACTGTTTGTCCCTAATTTAAACTTTTTTTTATACTACGAACTTAAGAATTATTTAAGTGAGTAATTGTGTTTCCCAATCATTATTATTCGACAGCAAACCATGAAAGTAAAATAATTAGTTGTGGTAAGTGCTTCTCGTCTTTCTAGAGTGCTGTACCTGTTGCGACAGATAACTGATGTACCCAGCTGCATCCTACATAGGATGTGCAAAATTTACTGCCTCATCACCACCGAGAATCCTAGGTCATCAATATTCAGGTTGAATTGAATTTCTTGAAAAAATTGGAAGTCGGTAATGAAAC